CCCCCCTCTCCCTTAAAATACCACTAATTCTTATCTCGTCTCCTGCCCCATTCCATCTTTACATCCACGAACAAATCACTTTGTCTTGTTAGTGCCCAGGAGGTGTATCAATATCAAGTAACGTTTTATTTTTTTAAAGATGCGTGCAATGTTATTATTGTCTATAAATAATGCAACTGCCGTCCGCCGCTTTCTTTTCACAAAACATTAGGTGACGTCCACAGAATTCTACACTTAGTGTAGAATTCTGTGGTGACGTCAATAGTATTTAGGATTTAAAACTGCTGCATGCATGCTGTTATTGTAAACTAGCCTACAAGCAGCCTCGTTTTATCTCTTCAAGTTTGGCTTGGGTATCAATTATAGGTTAAAGAGAGTTTCCCTTATGATGGGAACAAAGTGGATGTGCCCAATTAGGCTGGTGACAAAGGACCACAATGACTTCTGGGTGAGTCACAGCCGATGCCCATATATGGTGCTCGCCATTTTCCGCCTGGCACCGCGCAAGGGAGCTCACTCATTCTTGCTCCTAGTTTACACGTACGATAAAGGCGTGTCGAAATCGTTAGGAAAGTCACTTCATTCTTTCTGGCTGGAATTAGTGTTCCGCGTTTGTAAAATCATTCAAAAGCTCTGTGGTATTCATAAGGAATCGTGTTTCCTTAAGGAAATTGCGGAGTACAGTTCCAATACGTTTGTTGTGTGAAGTGATCTTTGCTGTATTGCACAGAGACTTTAGTTCATTCTCCTTTCGTTCTTCTTCACACTGCCTTTGTGAAATTGATCAAGATGGCGTCTGGAGTGAAAGTAGCAGAAGAAACCGTGGAGGCTTACAAAGCCATGAAGCTGCAGAAAACAAACAACAGATATTTAATTATGTCTATTGACTTGGCTGCTGGTCTCATCAAAGTGGTTGCTTCAAAAGAAAAGATGAAGGATGTGGATCAGGAAGCGGAATATAATGATTTCCTCGCCCAGCTACCCTCCGATAGTGGCCGGTACTGCATTGTCGACCTGACCATTCCCCAAAAGAACGGAGCCATGAAAGATATACTGTTCCTGATTACGTGGTAAGTGTAGTTTTGTTTTCAGTATTGTTCAGAGAAAACCAAGGACAATTATTTCACAATATATCCCCCTATCCTTTGAGTTAACAGTATGGATTGAAATTCACCATCCACACCCTTTCATTTTCCATTTTCACAAGAGTAAGACGAGCCCAGCCCCACCCCTCGCCCACAACTACTTTACTACTATAACTAGATCTAGATCTAGATCTAGATTTAGATCTACCTCTAGATCTAGAGAGATTTATTAAAAGTTCTCAAGGCCTAGCCTTGATTTCTACTTGATGATGATGACTTGAACAAATTCAAATGAAAATATGACGAGATCCTAGATCTAGAATCTAGAGGAATCTAGATCTAGATTCTAGCTCTAGATCTAGATCTAGATCTAGATTCTAGATCTAGATCTCATATCTAAATTTAGATTGCCTCTTCTTCCTGGTCTGCAAATTTTTGTTTTCCAATGAACACTCTTGTTCACAAGTTAGTGTGTTACAAATCTACAATTCAAATTTCTGCGACAACACGGAAGACCCTGCTTTCAAAAGGAATAACTCTAGATTTAATATCTAGGCCTATTTGTAGTGAATACAGTGAGACAGCTTAAATTTTCAACTTCAAGTCTTAGATCTTAACCCTATTCCTGCGGGAGCCGGGTTTATGTAGCCCGATAAGCCTATTTCGGCACCTCGCCTGCGTTCTGGTCCCGAGTCAGTGTAGCTCCCTGCTCAGCGCACGCGCAGCGCGCATCCTCTTACGTGTCATTCGGGTCCCGAGTCGGATCCCCATTCACGCAGGTCAAGTGTGTGTGCGTCAGTCTGCTTGAGTTTGTGTGCGTTTGTGGCCTTCTTCTAGAACCACCTGCGTTGGTTCGTAATCGAGGCATACGTCTCATTCAAAACATGCCAAGTTGATAGCTCTAGATGTTCGTCCAATGAAATTATAGAAGAAATTGACCCACTTAGACATGAGGAGCTCGAAAGGATAGTCAGGAAACAAGACTTCCATTTTTCTATACAAAATATTTCAAATGAGCTTGATTTTGTATGAAATGATACTACCTGATAAAAGATGAGCTTGTTTAATAGTTTTGAATACCCTTGTGCAGGTACAAAGAACAATTTGAGTGTAAAACATTCGGAAATTGACCTAAATTATCCCTTTTCGAACCTCAGGTCATTCATAACAACAAGAGCGTCCAGAAAGGTTATTCAAATGGGCGTAACTACTCGTAATGTCTTATCAGCTTGTGAGAGGGGGTTATTCGTGTGTTTGTAACACTTTATAATTATAGAATGCTATGAAGGATAGAGCGTTATTTTCATCATCAGTTAACACACTCCCGCGGTATTCATGGCGAAAACACACGTTTCCCGGCGCGCGCGCTGTACACCAACAGTACACACTGAGTGACCCCGGCGAGTCCGACGTAATCGGTTGCTGATAAGATACGCATCTGGAGCTACACTGACTCGGGACCAGAACGCAGGCGAGGTGCCGAAATAGGCTTATCGGGCTACATAAACCCGGCTCCCGCAGGATGAGGGTTAAATGACAAGGAGTTTTTATTAAATTAATATTATTAGCCTATCGATTTAAAATGTTTTTTGGCATTGTCCGGTTTTGGCACCAAGAGCCAAGAGTTCTGAAATTAAATTATATAACGATACTGATGATATTTTACTCCTTTGAGCCTGAGCTACATTTTTCACCCAACAACCATTGCAGCCTACACTTATTTCATCAATATTTTGAAATGACAACGTCCGGGGGCTTTTACGCAATTTTTTCGGGCCCAATTTGTAATTTAAAAAATCATCTATATATATATATAGCAGTTCGGGAGTGATTGACTTTGTCTACTACTACAGCTAAAAAAGCACTTAATTTATAACTTCACTAAATTTTAAATGAAATGAAACAAGTGGGTCAACTGTTGGTTCGCTGCTTCCGATTGCTTGTAACCGATAAAACACCAGAGATATGGATCGATAAGGAGCATCCCGCAAATACACGGGATCACGCTACTGGGCAGGGGCGCATCTCGTACACACATGGGAATGGGCTCAAGTGAGTTAAGTACTCGGTATCAATGTTTTATCCGAAAAAGAACGAGAGATGTGCTGCTATTTTTCAGCTAAAAAATGAGCAATAATTTCACTTGTTACTAACAAGGGGGGTTTCGAGGGGGGGGGGGGCATTCCCACCTGACCTTATAAAAACCTCTGTATTTAATCATAATTTGTTGCTTCGCAGTTAGCTTTGATATTTTCTCTCGCTCGCTGCGCGTCAAACGTAGTGTCGGCACACGCAGCGAAAAGTAATCATTTCGAACCAGAAGTAATCGGTGGAGCCAAAACCCATACTCCATAGTTATCGTTAGGGCCAAAAACCGAATTTCCCTGTGATTTTAGTCCCCATGTTTGATTTTCGAGGATTTTCAAATTGTGCCAACATTTCATTGAAGAAGCTTATATAAATAAATATGAGTAACAGAAGTTTGGGACTTGCACAGCACTCCGTCATGTACACTGAATTAAGGATTTGTCTGTCTAGAAAATTAGACACTACGATTTTTATTTTTTTTACAATATTCTAGGTGATCAAGAATTGTTGAGTTCCGAAGACTGAACATCTTCATTGAACATTGGGAGCAGAGGTATTGAAAAAAAATGAAAGAAATGTCAGTGTTTGCGTTTCACATGCTACCACTGCAGTTGTTGTCATGTACGAGTCAGCTTCCAGTGTATTTTGAACTTGTTGAGCAATTAGGCATGTGGTGGACTTTGTGGTCAGCATGTCACCGCTGACTGTGGGGAAACTTTGTGCAGAGAACGAACTGCTCTGCACGGTCGGTGTTTGTGGCTAGTTTCAGCGTCTAAGCTCATGTTTGTGAAAAGAAATATATATATGACTGTTATGAAATAAAGGATGCCTGAATGCATGAGAAAACTTGACTGAGAGTAATGAGAATGTCAAATGTTTATGACTGGGACTATGGCATGCTTTGCTTATAAATTGGCCTAACCCTCACAGCCCCATCATCATTGCCTTTTTCACCCTGGATGAGGAATAGGCCACGGACAAACACTCTCCACCTTTCCCTATCCTGGGCTAGTTGCTTGTTGTCACTCCATGTCTTCCCAAGCTTTTCTGTACATCCATTTCCGTGACTCTTCTCTAATTTCCACGTGGTCTTCCTCTTGATCTTTTTCTCTGTGGGTTCCAATCCAGTTCCAATCTCACCCTTTCCTTGTTATGCAGCTGCTTGACTTCCTGAGAGTGTGTCCAATCCATCGCCAACATCTTCTTCCCACCTCATCTCTGACTGGGCTCTGTCTCATTCCTCTTAATACTTCCTCGTTGGTGACCTCGTCTGTCCATCTGATCCTCAGTGACTTCCTGTTCAAGAAACCTCATAGCCCCAGTGGTGTATATTTCCTCCACAAGTTTTCCATCTCTCCTGGCCCAGTGGCTTTAAATATTTCCCTTACAAGGCACCAGCCATCTGACACCCAATCATGCATTTTTTGTTTTAGTAAAAGAGTTTAATAGAGCTTGCGATAGTTAGATGTGTAAGTGCCGAAGGTTAAAGTTGTTACAAGAGAGTAACAAACACAAAAAAGAAGGAGAGGTAAGGCCTTTAGATGTTTGATATATGAGGAGGAAAAGGAGCAAACAACACCAAAGCAACCCCGCCAATCACCCACAGCACATTTTTACCGTTAATCTACCCCAATTGTCTCTAAATGATAGGCAGACACACTTGCCAAAAGGGGATTTAGACAGGAACAGCTCAGCATTTCAACTTCAGACAACACTGCGCAGCAAATCATCAAAAGCAGCAACAAAGAAAATTGGATGAAGAGGTGGTCCTTGGGAAAGAAAGACAGGCAGAGAAATTTTCTATGACTACAACAAAACAAAATTATGATTTTTTCAACAATCTTTGAGAGAGGAAAGAGAAGACTTGTACAGTCTTCCGTCTGAGAGCAGAACAATTGTTACATTCCAATTTTCACTTAAAAACAGAATAAAATCAGAACTTTAATTACTTAAGGATCATTGCAGGCAGCACTATGAGTGACAATGCCATAGCCGCTCCTCCCTCCTCTCCAGGATCCATGAAAGGGTCTGCTTGCTGATCGTACCAGTTATCAGCTGGTTGGATATTCTTCTGGCTTTTCCATGCAGGCTGCTTTCCATTGTGTGTGATGTGGAAAAGAGTGAATGAGTGAACGAGAAAGGGAGTTTGTTCGTCTTCCTAAACACTGTTCAGTCGTTTATCACTGGACATGGACAGACACATAGCTGATCATGTTTGAGCCTTACCACGGTCCGATGTTCTGTCCTCAGAAAAAGGCACATGCCATTACTTTTTCCATTTGACTTATCGAATTCGCGGAGGGCTCGCCTCTTAGATAGCATTACAGTGTTGCAAGGGGTCTTAAAAAACTTTACAATTTCACTTGGCTGATGTGTGGCTGTAAGCTTTTGTTTGGAGGAGACTGTGTGTGGAGGTGGAAAGGCTATGAAGAAGGAATGTTGTACGGTGGAAATTGTTCAAGACCCACTCGTTGTTGCGGAGAAAAGTGGCAGTCTTAGACAGGTGGACATTTTGTACAGTGTCATTGTCATATTTAACACTTTGTGGTCACTCTGCGCAATAATGCGACGGTGAAAATAAAAAATTATCCGTTCTGGTCACTTGGCGCAGTTCTGCGCCATGCCTGAAAAGTCGGTTGCAGTCACTCTCCTGACTGGGTGACCAGATGGGGTATTTTGTACCGCTGGCTGTGTGACTGCTAAGTGTTAAAAAACACAAGGGGGAAAGTGGTTATTTGTTCAGGTGATTGTCTTGGATAGATGCCGGTAAGAACAGGTGTGACTCTAGTTTTAGTTGAGTGCGTGAATGCATGGTGCTGATTGCTTGCTGATTGGCAACTTTAGTATGTCTGTGTGCTACTGTTGTTGTTGTGCTGGAGTCAAGCTAAATGCATCTTGATAGCATTGAATGCTTAAGTGGGCAGTTTGTGTGTGTACATTTTTTTGTATGTGAATTCTTCTGGATATTACATATAAACCACTCTCAGTAAACAGATGTTACTGTACCCTGTTTACAGTGTACACTTTTTGTTGTTTTTTATGTTTTCTTTGAGGCGTTTATTGGGCTTTTTGATCACATACTTCACACACATATATGCATGCACAAACACACACACAAATACCCATTTTTGCTGAGTCGTTGTAATACAGTAGTCTCCGCCTGAGATCCCACCGCTTACGATCCCGGTTCGCTTTTAAGATCCCGTTGTTTTAGGAAAACAGAATTTTTACTATACAAAAGTCACCCCTAAGATCCCGCTCTGATGGTCAACATTCGGCTAAGATCCTGCATTTCAGATCATAATTTGCGAAACAAAAACCTGGGTGGGTACAGCCGATCAACCAAGAGTGAAAAGTTGAGATCAATAAACTGTCCGTTGCGTCAGACAGAGATCAGCCACTCTCGTGAATGTGATCACATACATGTTGTAAAACTCGATGAAGCGATACAATGTTTCTAATTTGTGTGTTCACAACGCAATGGTGTGTAACGACAAAGGCGGTTTTGTGGGGGGGGGGGCTTGGTCAGAGATGGAAAGCTATAAATTTTCGACAGGTAAAGGGGAGGGGCAACTGGATAAGCGTAGATCTTGAGACTCATGATAGGATATTACGTCAAAATGGCACGCCTCATCCCACTATGCACCGTGATAGGTCATCAAGGTTAAAACCACTCTTTGCTCGCCATATGCCATAAACCAACCAAGCGGGCACGTCAGTTCATTGTGGAGTGGAGGGAGACCATTTTACCGATTGTGAGCCTTAACATGGGTCACCATAGATTCTTCCCTGGGTTCGTTGGTTAAGATCCCGGTTCGCCTAAGATCCCGCATTTCCTTGCTCCCGAGCACCGGGTTGTTAGGCGGAGACTACTGTATAATAATCCCTGTCAGTCTCAGCCCTGGTTGGTCCTAATAGGCAGAGTTGGATAAGTTAATTGTGCTAATGAATGGGGTGTAAAAACACCAAGACCTAATTTATTTTTTTTAAAGCAGGCTGCCAGTGATGGTTATAATGCTCTTCCTACGTTACTACATTGTTTAATCTTGGCAGTCATCACAGATTTTTGCGGCTTCTGATGTCTTTTCCAGATTTTTTACTCTTCTAAAAGTGAAATACCTTTTTCTTTTTCGGATCATTACCCTTGACAAATGTAGTTTCTATTTTATCCTTTTTTTTCTTATGCACAGTAGAATTGTAAATGGACTGATTTATCAATGTCATGCTCATAACTGTGCTTGAACTACAAAAGGTAACTGCTTCTTTTTCTTTCCTAATCCTTACTATCGTCATTTTCCTCTACTTCTTTTGTATGTTTGTCATACTCTTGTGACCCGCTGTTTCCGGGGTGCCTTGATAGTCGAAGCAAACATTGTGTGGTTGAGGCTAGAGAGGTGAGCAGAGTAAGTCTGATTCCCTGTAAGGACTTCTCTGTTGACATCCACCCCTTGGCACCGTAATACCGTACTAAGCAGGTGGTTGGTGGGTGCTCTGATGTGGTTTGCTTCATCTTTCCTGTCAAACATCTATCATCCTTATCTTTCCTCCTTCTTTTTTGTGTACGTTACTCTCTTGTAACACATCTATTCTTCGGCACCTATATGACCGTATTGTGTTGCAAGTACTGTAAAACTCTTACCCAAAAATTTTTAAAAACCTTACTAAAACTAAAACTGTCTGTGTGCGCAGGTGTCCCAACGAAGCTACGACGAAGTCCAACATCCTGTACACGACGTCCAAGCGGGAGCTGCTGAACAAGATCCGTGAGGGCATGATCGACCTTCAGGCCAACGACCTCTCGGATCTGCAGTATTGTGAGCTTCTAGTCAGGGGTTGCAAGTAGACCTGCACCGCAAGACAGAGTGACCTGTGCATGGACAAGACAAGGCTTGGCTGCGGGCTGGACTTGAGAACTTTATTTTTCAAAATGACTGAGAACGCTGAACAAGAAGGAAGTTAAAAAAGGGGAAAAGTGTGTTCATTAACTCAACAACTGAGGATGTTTGGATCTCCAGGTTGAACGCGAGGCTTTTGATTTAGAACTACCACAAATTTTATATAATGCATCATTTAGAACAGCTGAGACACTGTTTTGTTTGCCGTTTGGAATTGACTGGAAGTTTGTTTGTCGTTTGTTGTTTTTCTTTTTAATGCATTGGATGTTTTTTTCCTTTGGGGGGGGGGGGGTCAAGATGCAGGAAAACATTACTTTTGATGAGTTTTGTGGGCACTTTATTGAAGCGACAGTTTTTGTGCGTTTTACAGCAACACATGTAAGGAAGAAGTCTTGGTCTCTGTGTGAGTAAATGAGGTCAGAAGTCTGAAAGCCGACTCCTAGGGGAGGCTGGTCGAGGCAACATTTGGCAAAACCAGCACCTTTTTTTAAAATACGGACTACATCTTTTATACAATTGTAAGCTATCACAGAATTATGTCTCTCTGCTTTATTTTCTGTTGAAAATTTTAGTGGCCATGTCAGAATTGTGTCTAGCAAATGTTTATTTATTTTGCACACGGTTTTCTAACTTTGTTTGAAAGTTTTACGAGTTAATTCACACCATAAAGACATTTTTAATGCAGTTTCTCTACGAGTCTGTTGTCAGTAGCCAGTTTGTCTACGAGTCTGTTGTCAGTAGCCAGTTTCTCTACGAGTCTGTTGTCAGTAGCCAAGAATGAAAGGCCCCCTGTTCTGTTTCATTTCCTTCAGCTGATAGTTCTTGATCTCCGTACTTCTTGGGAGGGAGAAAACTAAAAACCAAACATTAACTAAGAAGATAATGTCAAAACCATGTAAGTTACATTGATTAACATTTCTACCTGCGAGCTCTCATTCCTGAATTTGTTACAGTGAACTTTGGGAGGTACAAAAGAATCAAAAGAAAGTTACTTGAGGCTTTTCCGTACCGCACAGCGCGCGTGTGGTTGACAAAAGTTCTTTCTCTCTGTGCACAGCTCTGCTGGTGTTACTTAGTGCTCACTCATGTATATTGTGACACTACCGTTTGTCGGCACGTCGAGATCTCTATTTTTGTGTGGATCGGTACGTAAAAACACCTACTTGAAAAAAGAGAAAGAAAAGAAAGATCTATATATTTACTGAATGGAGTAACATTCACATTTTTGGAAACCACTTTTTTTATAAAACAAATTTTGCACAGTTGTCATTCATAATAATTGTTTGTGTCTCATTATAGACAGGGGAAAATGGTGCTTTAATTTCAGTAACTTGTTTTAGCCTTTTAAACTTTTTATCATATAAAGTGAATTGTAGTCTTTGGAGTTGATGAAGCCAAAGAATTTACCAAGAGCGCTTTCATTGGCTTCTTTTTTACCTGTCCTTCACATGAAATGTAGAGCTGTAGTATTTTTATACATATTATAATTCCTTTTGCCACTTTTATATTCAAGCCAGCGAGGGGCACGTGGATTCTGCTTGTGTGGGTGATGAGTGCTGTGTGTGTTTACTGGATTATTTTTTTTGCATAAATAAACCACATACAGTGTGGTGTACTCCAATCCTTTGGTCTCAGATCTCCTCATCCTTGAGCTGGGGCTCGTGAAGTTACACAAGAAATTGCTCAATGGGTACCCCGTCTGTTCTTGCCGCTTTTTTTTTTTTTTCCACCCTGCCCCCCTTCTTGCATGCCTCTGTATCTCCCCATCCTCTTCACCTTTTTGGGGAGGAGGAGGAGGGGAGTGCTCATCACACTTGTCCATGATCACATGCGTCGGTTCAGCCTCTCTGAAGAAACAGTTCAAATAGTCCCTGTGCCCCTTTCACTACAAAGTTAACACCACAAGCTGTAGAAACCCTCATTATATATATCCTTTTGACAAGCCATGTTAAGAATATATTCAAGTCTTGAAAGTGGTGGGGTCAGAATCCCGCCTCCTAAATTATATTTTAAATGTGTCGATGGGGGAGTAAAAACGACTTTCTTTCTCTAGCAGAATGTGGATTGTGCTACAGATGGCGCATGTCGTGTAGACTTTAAACTTTTCCCCTTTTTTGGGGGGATATTCATGGTAGTACATTACAGCACAGGTTGATGGAGTCAGTGGTTGGCTTCACACTGTCATGCTGGTGACTAAAGGGTATTTTTTTGTTCCACACACTTTTCTGTATAAATTTACATTGGCGATCTTGTCATAAGCTTGCACCCATTCTAATATTTTTATACACCTATCACGAAATTTAAAAAACAAACAGAAACCATTGCCAGCATCATCAGAATTTTTAAAAGGCAATTTTTTAACTTACTTTAAAATGTGCTGGGTATTACATTGGGGTGATTCTTCAGTTAAATAATTGTATTCATCCCCTTTGTTTCCCATCCTTCGTGTAAATATGCGGGCTGATCTGAGTCATTACTTGTGCTCTTGTAAATTTTTTCACAGTCTGTTCATATCCACGCGAGAAAAAAAATTTTTTTTGCATATATTTGTAGGCGTTGGATGGAAGGAAGAGAGAATTAACTGACTGTTTCTATTGAAACGAAACAAGAAAATGGAGGTGGCCAAAGCAAATGTCCAAGGAACATTGTACATACTCTGAGAAGACTCCTGCACAGCTGTTGTGCTCATCTGATTGTTTGCTTTTTTTATTTTATGTGTGGATAAAAAGTGTTTGCTTGCATGGGATTTCCGTTTCTCATTTTGTTTTAAAGGGTTTGTTGTTTGTTTTATTGGTTGTTATTTTTTTTAATGTTTTTTTTTTAGTCTTATCCATGACACCTTTATCAAAAGATTGTTGTTGGAAACGTAAGGATTGTGTTATTCTGGTTGCAGGGCGCGGAGTGTGAGTTTTGCTACATTCTGTTTGACAAGGGTTTTGTTGAGCAATTCGTCTGGCCAGCTGGAATTTCACGAGTGCATTAAAAAAACTTTTTGTTATTAGTTAATAAGTCACTTTGTGTGTCGTGCAATGTGTTATTGTTATAACAATAATAATAAGGGTGTGCAACTTTTCTTTTGTTCTGATCGTTAGGGACAGGATGAGGACTTTTGATTTTTATGTCGGGTAGAGGTTTCACTTCGCCCTTTTGGTCAACCCTTTTCCGAGACTGGGAATCTTTTGGAAAATGTATTTTTCGTCATATATTACACACACCCCCCTCCCCAAACTTACCTCTTGTAAAATTAATATGTACCTCTGTACTGAACCAAAACTACAGGGGCCGACAGAGTTGAAAAAAACAGGTCGTGCATCATGAATCCAAGGATGATCTTTAACATCCAGTGAGGAAAAAGTTATAGAATAGACCTGGCCAAGGGAGTTAATTGTGTATAAACTGCCATGTTCCAATACTCCCAATGACTTACCTCCCTTACTTGGAGTGATTGTGTAAGAACTGTGGACGTTGCAAGTTACAGAGTTAGGTTGTTCTAGTAACTTATACTGAGCGTTGTTTTTGTGTAACTCGTGCTACCTGTTACCAAGCCAACTTACATTTTTATTTGTCATAGAGACATACTAACTAACCAAGTATATACAAGGTTTATACTACACCAAGTCCCTGTTTAGAGTGATGCCTTTTGTAATCCACCTATGTAGGTCCCCCCCCCCTCCCTACTATCATGTGTGTAACTTTGTGATCTGTACACCACATCTTCTCAGAGACACTATCAATCATGGTCATTGTTATTTTAATTACTGAGTAGGATTTTTTCCCCCCACATTTGTTGCTTGAGCATCGATCTGAGTCTATCTACTAATGATATCCGATTTTATACTCTCAAATTTTTTTGTCTGGATCTGCGTCTGAGTCTTTGATTCGTTTATATTCCGCTTGTTCCTGATTTGCTGTGTGATCTTTTTACCTTGCTCTATGGATCTGTTGTTTGGTTTTTTTCCTCCTTATGCACATCATCTGGGTTTTTTTTTTTTTAATTCAGCTTGTTTGTTTCTGTCACTTTCATTTTATTTCTCTATAATTTATTGGCTAAAACTTTAAGAAAATATACTGTACTGCATGTTTCTAAACGTTTTCTAGTGTGACTTCTGTAGCTAATTTTTCCTACTTTATTTGACCAGTGGTCACTCATCCAGACCTGCCAAGTACTCCCGATGCAATAAGAGCCCTAAAACACCTACTTGAAAAAAGAGAAAGGGTGAAGTGTGGGGGGGTGGGGGGGGGGGGGGGGGGGGGGTCCTAAAACCGATATCGTTATCTTATGCTAGACTAGCCTATAAAATAATGTAATAATTTCTTCAGTTTCAAATGCCACCAGGGCCCAGGCGAGTAGATAGTTGGTCATAATATGAAGGCAAACACAATTGCTTATGAACTGTGATTAATTATCTTCAGTTTTCATAAATACAACGTATAATTGAGTGTCTTATTTGTTTGGTAGGCCTATCTCGATCTGCTGCAGAACACACGTATGCAAATCACTTGTCCTGATTGTTTATTCAATGACCCCTGACCTTTCAGAAGCAAAAAATAATATGGATTGGAACTCTTCTTCCATTATTTCACAACAACTGGTTGTGCCCTTGCAAGAGCAGTAGATAAAAAAGAACCATTAATGTAATGTTTTTTATTGTCAAACAAAAATGCTGAAAGTTGGTGCAGAAGGCTACAATTCTGTAGTAAAATATTTTTGTGGTGATTTTAGACTTGGATTTACTACAAATATTTACTTGGAAGACCTACCATAGCTACCAAACTGTTGCGTAGAGATGCATTGTAATGCGTCTGATGCGGTTTACCTAATATTTTTCTGAGTACTCTGAAGAAGTTACAAACAATTGGAAGGATTACAGTTTTTTAACGATTTTCTTGCATACATGTATCGAAATACAGGCAAAAAAGTTTAGAATATCGATCGCGATTGAGCGATACAATGGTGGCTGCACATCATGTTCCAACCCACATTTCCCATACGCCTTTGCAAGACAACTAATTAATATTTACATATTGTGTGTTCACTGTGTTCAACGTGAAAACTGGCCGAACTTTCATTGGATTACTGGATACTACTTCTTCTCCTGAGAGTGTTTTGATACCTTGTTTTTATCACCCACTTTTCAAGATGAGCAAGCGTTAGGATATCTTGATGTCAAAACCTCACTGAAAGCAAACCACACATATTTTGGGAGCTGGACTGCTTGATCTCAAGCCAAGTCATTGAAAATGGCGGATCTTGAGGCAGTTCTAGCCGACGTTAGCTATCTCATGGCTATGGAGAAGAGCAAATCTACTCCTGCCGCGAGAGCTAGCAAAAAAATTGTTTTGCCTGATCCAAGGTATGTGGGTCTCCGGTCATTTACAAACAGGTTTTGTCTGCAAAAATTTCTGGTGCTCAAAGTAGGTCACCGTCTAGCACCACAATCCTGTGCGAAACAACCAGATGCCTCCGTACTCAACTGTACTGTAATGAGCAAAGGGTCGCTGGTCTCTATTTTAAAAAAATATTTGTTTTGATTTTGTTTTGCCGACAGTACCTGTCCTTGGGTCACAATCTAGGATTACTCACACTTCCCTAACCCTCCCTGTCATATTCTGATATATAATTGTTGTTTTATTGCAGGAAAATCAGTGAATGAGGACACTTTTTCAGCTTTTTGTAGACCACTCAATCAATCAGTACTCACTCTGACACTCACTCTTTGCTCTGCTGGACTGGCACAGATTTGGGAAGGGAGAAATTGCAGTTTTTGCGTACTTTGAACCAAGTTGTTGTAATTCAAAATGTCAATTTCTTTCTATGGAGATTAATTTTAAGTAGGCTGCATTTTGTGTCTTATTATGTTATAGCAGACAAGTATTATTTTGATTTTGATTGATTATTTGTGCAGGGTTGCAATGATTATATAATGTTCTGTGATGTCTTTCTTGACACATGAAGGAGACTTTTAAGATTCTTTGGCCAAATGGACTAGAGGTAGAAGCTGCTGTTTTGAAAGGTAGAAAGAGGAAGAAGGGCAGAGGAAGACAGAACAACATGCACATATGGCCCATACAACTTTACAATAATAACCCAGTCAGTTAGGCTAGAAATACAGAGCTGATCAAGAAGACAGACATCAGGAAGGAATGGTGGGTTCCCATGAGCGCCAATGTCTGCTCCAGACAAATAAGAATTTGAGAGTAGGCTAATTTATTGGGGCAAGACTTAGGTGGGGTTTATTTTTCTTCTAAAGTTTGATTGAAGGCTGAAGGCACATTTTGTCCCTCCAAAACCTACCTGGATGATTGGTTTCAACACATCTTGTGACATTACATTGTCGTGGCGTATTTGATTTAACAACCTGCCCCCTGTACTGTTTGGTGTGTGCTGTACTGTACCACTGTACAGGCCCAAGCCATATTTGGATTATGGAGAGGACTTCCATAACGAGTGACCACTAGGCTATGTGAGACAGAGTAGAATTTAGGGTAGGTTTTGGGTTAGGGTTAGGTCTCTTCTTTATTGTAGTGTTTGTTGGGGTGGTCGCTCGTTTTGGAAGTCCTTCTGAACTATGTATGAACAAGAGAGAGATGTTTAAGTAAAAGTATGCTTGCATGTTTTCCCTAGCCTGCTTGAAGTTGAGCGGACCTCTGACTGACAGGGTGCTATCCGATTGCCTAAGTGGCGTAACGGCATTCAACAGAGCGTTTTGTATTGGTGATGTTTTAGAGGAAATAGTTAACACTTTGTGGTCACTTGGCGCAATAATGTGACAGTGAAAATGGTCCATTCTGGTCACCTGGCGCATTTTTACGCCAGGTCCGAATTTTGTGTACTGCTGACTGAGTGACTGCAAGCTGTGATGCTGAACATTACGATGTAACATACAATGAACAAACAAGTTTAATAATGGGAGAGACGATTAAGAAAATGAAATTGATGAAAAATTCAGGTTCGTCAGGACGTACAGAATATATGGAGAGAAAGATTTTAAAAATTATTTAAAATGCAACAATTACAATTATTTATCCATTTCTCTATTAACTCACTTCAGCCTGAGCTATTTTTCACCCAACAACCATTGCCGGCTGACACTTTGGGGGTACATCTCAAAGAAAAAGAAAACTGCGTCTTATTTGTCCAAATAGTTTTTATTTTATCAATATTTTGAAATGGGATTTTTTTTAGGGGGAGGGG